AAAAGCTGATTTGAACTTTTTCCTTTTACAGATGAGTCAGGAAGAATCTACCAGGTTTTATGATCAGCTGAACCATCACATATTTGAGCTGGTCTCTAGCTCTGATGCAAATGAAAGGAAGGGTGGCATTCTGGCTATAGGTGAGTGAAAGTGCTTAATGCCTCTGGTGAGTTTTCTCTTCATGCATCTATCTTTAGGGACAGATGTTCAAAAGGAATGAGCTTTTACAACTGGGGCCTTATGTCTGACTGCTCAGTACGCTGGGTGCGTGCTAGTTGCTGGGCTCTGAAAATCTGTCTCTAAGTGTCAGCATGGGAGCTGCTGAGTGCTGAGAGTGGTTGAAAACCTGGTGCTTAATGGGCCCTGAGCTCTTCTGGGAGTCGAGCATCAAATGTGAGTGCTGAGCATGTGAAAATTCTGTTCTTGAGCTCAGCTGAGAACAGTTTGTGCTGTCCATTTGTATGTATTGGGGTGGGCTGACTTTCTCAACTCTATTCTGTCTGAGGAGATTGATTCTTGTTATTTAAATTTACCTGGCTCAATATCAGCAGCTTCCATTCCTGGGAGGGGCTCACATAACTTCTGCTTTGATTCTGATCAGCTGCTCCATCGGTTGCTCTGGTTGTGCTTTTGCTGTGACATGGCAGAGCTGCCTGCATTTTGACTCTTAGGGAAATCAGCTTGCATAAATACTTTGCCTTCCAAACAAGTAGCCTGTATTGCAGCAGTTACTTCTTTAATAACCAAATAGGAGGTGCTTATGGTTTAGGCTCACAGACATAATCATCCAATCCCAACGTGTTTGAAGACAGTGGAAGTCCCTTAGCTAGAGAAATCTTTGTTGACAACATCTGATTTTAAGCTGACAGTATCACTTTAAAATTGTTTCTGTGAATTTAGTGCTGTTGAAAGGTGCCGGCTTGACAACCCTGGACACTGATGGCCTCTTTATCTACAGAGCAGGTACAACCCAGGCACCGGCAGCAAAAGCTTCTGCCACACTGCCGCCTGCCAAGGTGCCTCCACCCTGGCCGGGAGAGACCATCTCTAGGGCTGAGGGGGAGAGCAATTTCCTTGGTCCATTCAGTCTTTGACTTCTCTACTGAGGCGGACCAGCTGTAGTAGTTGCATGTGGATGGATGCCTTTCTATTGGGAATGGGTCTGTGATCCCAGGGTGGATTTTTTTTTTTCTTTTTAAACTAAAAATGGGGAAAATCTTTGAAGCTACTGGATGCATTTTCCTGCCCACTTAACAAGTTCAGGTTCGAAAGAATGGTGGCCCTTTCCTATTGCTTGATTATTTTTTTTTTCTGTGGATTTTCAGTTTAGGAGGAGTTAATGGGAATCTTTAAGGAATGGATAGGGAATACTAACTCTTATCCAGGGATTACCTACTGTCTGCCTCACTGACTCTTAGTGAGAACCTACAGCATTGCTCCCTTTCTTTACAGCAAGCCTTATTGGTGTTGAAGGAGGTAATGCCACCCGTATCGGCAGGTTTGCAAACTACCTGAGGAACCTCTTGCCATCCAATGACCCTGTTGTAATGGAGATGGCCTCCAAGGCTATTGGGCGGCTTGCGATGGCTGGTGACACCTTCACAGCTGAGTATGTGGAGTTTGAGGTGAAACGAGCTCTGGAATGGCTGGGAGCTGACAGGAATGAAGGTCGAAGACATGCAGCTGTAAGTCATCTTTTTTTGTCTTCACCTGTCTTGGAACAGGATGGTTAGGATTAGTTAACAGTGGTAGGAGATGTGCACAGAAAGCTGTGGAAAAGCTCTGATTAGGATCAGAATGGCTGCCAGTCCATGTCTGAGAATCTGTGATGCTCTCATGGCAGATATAGTGCCGCTTCATTGCTTCTACCTTAGCCCAGTGACTAAAGAAGATTGAGACACCGTTGTGCTAGGAACTGTAAAAGTATGGAGCTGGAAACAGATCAGGCTCACAGACATTAACAGTATAAATAAATGATATTACGGTCTAGAAATAATGAGGTTTGTCTATGGGTGCTCATCCTCACAGAGTGTTACTGTTTCTCTCCCCACCTCCAGGTTCTTGTCCTGCGTGAGCTGGCAATCAGCGTGCCTACCTTCTTCTTCCAACAAGTGCAGCCATTCTTTGACAATATATTTGTGGCTGTGTGGGATCCCAAACAGGCCATCCGGGAGGGAGCTGTTTCTGCCTTAAGAGCCTGCCTTATCCTCACCACTCAACGGGAGCCAAAAGAGATGCAGAAGCCCCAGTGGTACAGAGTAAGAAAATAGCTTTGTTTTGAAGCAGCTCCTCATAATGCAATGCAAATGATCAAGTGCCAGTTTTTAGAAGAGCTGTCTAAGCTAAGAACCTGTGTCACCTTCGTCAGTATGTCTGATTGTCAGTAGAAAACTGCCTCCCCTTGAAAGGGTTGAAAATATAATGGCTTACAAAATGAGTAGTTCCTTTAGCCCACTATAAAAGTAACCAAGAGACTTAATTCCATCAAGAATCCATTGCTCTATCTGCAGCTCACTTTCAGCTGTTGAGCCTGACCTAGTTTTACAGCCATGCAATCATCTATCTATTGTCATCTCTTACTAGCAGATGGTTTTATTAGTGTAGAAAAAACATGAGTGAAAAAGGTAAGGATTCTTTTGTCTGAACCTTAGCTTTGCTGCCATTCTCGCATGAATTCAAGCTTCATAATATCAAATAAGGTTTGGACAGTGCAGTCCAATGTTGTGAACTTGGATTCCTCATAGTCAAATATGTGATGCAGATATTGATGAAGTTTATACCATGGCATGGTTGACTGGCTGTTTGATTAGTACTCTATTGAAAATGCTCTGCAGCAGAGTCCACAACTTCTGGGTTAATCTGAATTTTGTGGTGTATACTGTTATTACTCAGTTGAGGTTTGTGGCTACTCTTGGGAAAATTACAGGACATCAGTAAATCTTGACTGGCAGTACTACTTTATTTCCACAGGCTTTGTTTCTGCATGATCCTTGAGATTGTTTGGTTTTTTTTCTTTTCCCCCAAGCATACGTATGAAGAGGCTGAGAAGGGTTTTGATGAGACTTTGGCCAAAGAGAAAGGAATGAACCGTGATGACCGAATCCATGGTGCCTTACTGATCCTCAATGAGCTAGTGAGAATCAGCAGTATGGAGGGAGAGGTGAGCAAATGAAGAAGACGGGGATTATGACTTTTGGTTGCCAGATCGCTGAGTTGCTACACATCGTCAGTCGATCTGTGGAAATACCCCATTGTGTTTGAAGTGGGGTTGTTGGGCTGAAAAGTCATCTGAACATGGAGTCAGAGCATTGATTATTACAAATTAAAGTGTGTCAGAGAAAGAACAACGACAAGTTTGGGCTGAGTAGGTATTAAGCTGTGATGGAAAGTGCTATTAACTGGATTAATTACAATAAAAAAGATTTTTATACCGAATGAGGACTCCGTTGCATGTTTTGCTGGATTTTGCTTAGTTGATGTTTTATAGCTATTTGGATATCAATTACACAGGATGCTGCTCAGGAGATTTGGGTAGCACTGTGTTGGGAATCTCTTATTGAGCTACTCTTTTTTTTTTTTTTTTTTTTTTTTTTTTAAAAACATGCTTTTCTACTTTGTCCAGCGCCTTAGAGAGGAGATGGAGGAGATCACTCAGCAGCAGCTTGTGCATGACAAGTACTGCAAAGACCTGATGGGCTTCAGTACCAAACCTCGCCACATCACTCCTTTCACTAGCTTCCAGTCTCTTCAGCCCTCTCAGTCAAATGCTTTGGCCGGTCTTCTGGGATACAGTTCCCACCAAGGAATCATGGGTTTCGCAACCTCACCTGTCCCAGCAAAGTCTACATTGGTAGAAAGTCGATGCTGCAGGGATCTAATGGAAGAGAAGTTTGATCAAGTAAGTGTTTGGCGGTCTTCAACTTTTCTACCAACATTCACAACACCAGTTCTTGTAGAGCAATTGTCCTCTGTGTCCTTACTTAGCAAGCAATACTGCCTAGTATTGAATCGAGGCATCAAAACTCATTAATTATATGTATCCTGGCTTTGTCACTGTCTCTCAGAGCAAGTGATTTACGTTCTTTGGAAGCAGTCTTAATTATCCATCTTTCTGATGAACTCTGAAGCCAAATGTCAGTAGAATGTCGTAAAGCACCCAGGTAATAAAGATTTGTGCATTACTGCCAATGGCCATCCTTCAAAGCTCAATCTATCTCCTTTCAGGTGTGCCAGTGGGTTCTCAAGTGCAGAATGAGCAAAAATTCTTTGATCCAGATGACTGTCCTCAATCTGCTACCACGGTTGGCAGCTTTCCGTCCTTCAGCATTCACAGGTGACAAGACAGATGGTTGGATGTTAGAAGTGTTGCTGAAATTGGGCTGGAAGTTATCCAGCTCTCTTTGGTCCAGATGAGCTTGTACAGGCAATGCAGCAGTACAAATGTGGTGCTTGTAAGATGAGCAAATTCCTCTGTGGTTGGACAGTCTTTTTTTTTTTTTTTTTTTCTTCTGAATAAGTGTGACTTGATATCTGATGCCAAATGTTGCTCTGGTGAAGAAAATGGATTGAAAACTATTGTCTGAATTCTGTGATCGATACCATGAGAGATAAAAACCTCCTTTTTGTTTTTTCCTCAGTATGTCAGACTTAGGGTTGAAATCTGCTCTCTTGCTCCCACTCAATGTATCCCAAACATTATCAGCAGAGTTGTCTTCCTTTTTTCTGCTGCACGTGCCAGGAAATATCAAGTAAAAATGGGAAATACCTGCTGGCTTTAGAGCAGTTCAATTGATTTTATCAAGCAAACTTAGGAGAGCATCAGAGTTGGAGGCAAGTCACCAAGCTGCTCTAAGTGGATTGGAATAAACTTTGTGGTGTTATTCCAAATTTCCAATCAATCACTATAAAAACAAGATGCTTGGATCTTATTTGTGTATAGAACCTGTTGCAATTTTTTTTTTCTCATAGCTCTTATTTTGGTGATTTTTTTTTTTTTTTTTAAAAAAAGCCTTCTGGGCTTTGAAAGTTTTATTATATGGTTACATGTGTTTGCCACTGCTCATGTCAGCAAATTTTATATGGCTGTGTCTGTTCCCTAGTTTTATACTTGTAAAGGTTTAGTTGCAAATGTCATGCAACTGTATAAACCTAAATGAGTTACAAAATCTGTATTGTTCTCTCTTGTGGGCAGCTGATCAGTATCTTCCAGACACCATGAATCATGTTCTCAGCTGTGTGAAGAAGGAGAAGGAGCGAACAGCAGCCTTCCAAGCCTTAGGTTTGCTTTCTGTGGCTGTGAGGTCTGAGTTTCAAGCTTACCTGCCAAAAGTCCTTGAAATCATAAAAGCAGCTCTTCCACCAAAGGACTTTGCCCACAAGTAAGTGTGTAAAGGTTAGAGGAAGAAACTGAAACACCTGTTCTTTGTATAATTTTTGTGATGTGAGATCAAATTATTGTATTAAAATCAGAGGTATTTCTGTAAGACTGATAACACAGAAGTAGGATGAGGAAAGATGTTTGAAAAATAGCAGCTCCTCTTAATTAACTTTTATGTGGTCCCTTTCTAGGAGGCAGAAGTCTGTGCAGGTTGATGCCACAGTCTTCACCTGCATTAGTATGCTGGCACGAGCCATGGGACCCAGTATCCAGCAGGACATCAAAGAGCTTTTAGAACCTATGCTGGCTGTGGGCCTGAGGTAAGTACAAGGCACAGGAGCATATTTTTCTGTTAGCCACTGGATGGCATTGTTGGCCATACAGAATGAGACCTTCAAAGTCTTCAGATTGAGAAGGAAGATTCTTGCTTTTAAATGATCTTTCAGAAGATCAGTTTATCTCTTTCAGAAGAATAATATATTTTAAGAGTTACTTAAGAGCATTGGTCTCTGTGTAAAGAAATCTTTCTGTAGAACAACTAGTGAATTCAAAAGCAATCTCCTTTACTTTCCACTATTCAAATACATTTGGCAACAGCCTGCAAAAATTTAGAAAGCCTCTAAAGGCCAGCAGATTTCTGCCATATCAGATTGGCAGGGAAGGAGAATTGAAGCGCTGAATATTTGCTCCTAGCTTTTTTTACCTTTGGAGCTGACAGTTCCAATTGGAAATTTCCCAGCTCACGAAGCTGTTAGTATGGGAGGGTACGGAGAAAGTATCTAGGTAGCACAAAGCTGTTTAGATTAGCTTAATGTTACCATCTGGAAGTAAATTTACTTGCCTTTGTGTCTAAAAAGCACAAGTATAAGGAATCACTTAGATTCTTAACAGTATTCTAGCAATATTGCCTGTCGTAGCAATGTGTGCTGCAGTCCTGGCAGTTTGTTCACCAAGTTCATACAAGAAGGTCATCTCACATGCCTGAGTTCATGCAAGGACCCCTATGCTCTGCTGGCAGGTGTTGCTGTGATGTGAATGCCCGCAATTATCTTCTGATGGGCAAAGGCATAAACAGAAGGGTAAAATATGCACCTCGTATTGTTTCTGTTCTAATGACTATCTACCTGCTTCTTGCCCTCAGCCCTGCTCTAACAGCTGTGCTGTATGACTTGAGTCGTCAGATCCCTCAGCTAAAGAAGGATATCCAGGATGGGCTGCTGAAAATGCTCTCCCTTGTTCTAATGCACAAGCCTCTGCGACATCCAGGCATGCCAAAGGGCCTTGCCCACCAGCTTGCCTCTCCTAGCCTCACCAACATCCCAGAGGCCAGTGATGTGGGTAGCATCACGCTTGCCCTTCGTACACTGGGTAGCTTTGAGTTTGAAGGTAAGATGAGATAAAGAAGCAGGGCGCCAAGGGGTATGGGATATAAACACTACTGCACTGGAGTAGAGTACAAGTAGCAGGAAAAGTGAGAGCACTTTCTTTAAACTCCTGTTCCCTGGTAAGACCAGCAATTGAGGTGTAAACTTGTGTTAAACTCCCCATCTTCTTCTTTCTAGGCCACTCTCTGACTCAGTTTGTTCGGCACTGTGCAGACCACTTTCTGAACAGTGAACACAAGGAGATCCGGATGGAAGCAGCCCGCACTTGCTCTCGCTTGCTCACACCTTCCATCCACTTGATCAGTGGTCATGCCCATGTGGTCAGTCAGACGGCAGTGCAGGTTGTGGCTGACGTTCTCAGCAAACTGCTTGTGGTTGGAATAACTGACCCAGGTTAGTGTGGGGTTCAGAGAAAAGGGTTCTCCTACCACATATTAATTTTAGCACATGAGCAGGTCTTGATATGAGGTTGTTGTAGAATTTGAATGTATTTGCCACTAACTTAAACTGTCATTCTTTACGAATTAAAAAGGTCTCCCAATTTCTCTTCCCAGATCTTGATTTTTTGAGGTATTAATAGAACACTAGTGCAAAATCTTCAGACTGTGCCCTTGGTAATCCTTTGAACTAGGTAGAGCCCCGAGACTTGCTTTGCTGCTGTTCTGTGTCATGGCCTTCAACTTTGTAGTTTGAGAAGAGATTGGTCCCTTCTGTTGAATCTTCCTACTTGATTTTTTTATTCTTTCAGTTGCAATATGATAACCTGAGATGAGTTCATTTTCTGCACACTGCCTCCAAATGTGCCACCTGTAAGTGCGAGAGGTTGGCATTGTACTGATCTGGGTATTGGGGCAGTACTGCGTGGCACTGAATCTGTTGGGTTGACCTACCCCATTTCTCATGTGTAAAACACTAATGTGTAGTGTCTCATGCTGGGGAAGCTCTCAGCATTTCCCTGAGGTTGTGAAGAATTTTTGAGGCCAGTTTGTGAATAAGGGCAATAATAAGAACAGGAGGGAGTTTACTGCATTTAAAGAGAAACAAATGTGTTCTTGCAGACCCTGATATACGTTTCTGTGTGTTGGCTTCTCTGGATGAGCGATTTGATGCTCACCTTGCCCAAGCAGAAAATTTGCAAGCTCTTTTTGTGGCCCTGAATGATCAAGTATTTGAAATCCGAGAGCTGGCCATCTGTACTGTGGGTCGCCTGAGCAGCATGAACCCTGCTTTTGTCATGCCTTTCCTGCGCAAGATGTTAATCCAGGTAATGAAGAGGGATGCCTGCAGTGAAAATAGAGTACTTGGTATTGAGATTAGGATGGTGTTAAAGAACTGGGCAATCTAGCTGTAGTGAATGTGTGGGAGCGTGGGGGAATATCTCCCTTTTGGAAAATACTTATTACCCAGCTTAGTAGGTTTCAGGAAGTCTTTTTAGTGATAGATGTTTGGACTGAAGCTCTAAGGATGTATTAGGAGGAAAGGATAGCAGTCATTATTTCACCCCACATTCATCATGCTGGAGTGCTTTCCATCGGTATTGAGGCAGAATGTTCTGTGCTTCTTTTAGGTCAATGGATGGCACCGCTTCATAAACGTAGATGGTTTTGAAGCCATCTATTCAGTTTTATGCTAATTAATTTTAGCTTCATTTAAACATAAATGACTGGATGGAGTGTAAATGTAGAACACCCTTTACAAGTGCTGAGATTGTTTTTTCCTGCTGCTGTCATTGGACAGGAGAGGAGGAAATCCAAAGAATTTTTGCCTACCTGTATTTTCCCTGTTCTCATGCTTCCATTGTCTTTTCTGCAGATTCTAACAGAGCTGGAACACAGTGGTGTTGGCAGGATTAAAGAGCAAAGTGCCAGGATGTTGGGTCACCTGGTTTCTAACGCTCCACGCCTCATACGTCCGTATATGGAGCCTATTCTTAAGGTAGAGTCTCTGTACATTTCCTAGTGACTTTGGAGTGAAATGATACAGCAAATGGATACATGACTGTCAGGAGCTGCAGTTCTTTTGCTTCATCATAGCAGGAAAAAATCAGATTGGTGTGGATATTACAGTAATGCATGTATGTGACAGTGTAGTGTAACTTGATTCTGGATTTGCATAAAGTTTATGAAATGAAAGTTTCATTTACTGTTGAAATGCTCACCATGATGCAAGTTGAGCCCCTATGGAATCAATTTCAGGTGTAAACAAAAGGAAAGATCATTTTGAGTGTTGTACATACAGCAAGGAGTCTTCTAAACACATTCTAACTTGTTCCTCTGTCACCTACCAGGCACTGATTGTGAAACTGAAGGATCCTGATCCAGATCCAAATCCAGGGGTGATTAACAACGTCCTAGCTACCATAGGGGAGCTTGCACAGGTAAGGATACTGCAGGTACCTCTTTGCCATGCTTGTCAGTTGTTAAGCTTTTGGCAATGCTAGATGAAGGACTTTTTTTTGGTTTTTTTTTTTTTTTTTTTTTGTCTTTCGATAGGTTAGTGGGCTGGAGATGAGGAAGTGGGTGGATGAGCTCTTCATCATAATTATGGACATGCTACAGGACTCTTCCCTGCTGGCTAAAAGACAAGTAAGTGTTTGACAACTGCACTAAACTTGCCATCTGCTGTGACCAAAGCTGTAATGAAATATCCACGTGTCCCATCATAGCTGCTAAAATGAACCTTTAAATCACTCAAGTGTCTCCTGTGGAGTGTACGGTCACACTCGTGGCACACAGGTCAGGGATTGCAGTGCCTGTCTGTTGTGACATAGTACAGAATTGTAAAAAGAAAAGAAGAAGAAAAGAGGGAAAAAAAAAAAGGAAGCAGTTCTTATTGGAAGGCTTGGACTCACTGAATTGGATGCCTGTTTGAATTGTATCTCTGAGTGAGGGCAATTATGGCAGCCAAAGTCTAACAAATTGTTGATTATCAATTTCTTTACTATTGTTTATTAAAAACCACTCTTTATAGAGGCTTTCAAACCATGGACTATGTTTTGCAGTGTGATCCTAAAATACTCAAAGAAACTTTACAGAAGTTGAATGACTGATGGATCAGGAGACATAATAAATTCCCTGGTCAAAACTAATCTTCTCTGGGCTTGATCTTTCCAGGTGGCTCTTTGGACACTGGGACAGCTTGTGGCCAGCACTGGGTATGTGGTGGAACCATACAGAAAGTACCCAACTTTGCTGGAGGTGCTTCTGAACTTTCTGAAGACTGAGCAGAACCAGGGCACTCGTAGAGAGGTATGAACATGAATCTATCACACAACCATTTCTAAAAGTTTTTGGGGGAGAGAGAGCTGTCAAATAAATGTGTCTGCATAGATTTGAGGGGGGGAGGGAGGTGAAAGATCATTGTTGTGGCTGATAGAAGTACAATAAGCAGAATTAAGAGAGTGAACGTGTTGAGTCAGTGAAATGGCCTCCAGCTGTTGAATGGAAAGCATTGATGTTTTTTCCAAACAGTCATTTTAATTTCAGATCTTCTCTCTCTAATCCTCAGGACCTTTCCAAACATGTGGGTTCATGTGTTGGCTTTTGCCTTGCTGATGAAGTTTTGCTGAATGTTCTTCTTTCTGTCTTATCAGGCTATTCGTGTGTTAGGGTTGCTGGGCGCTTTGGACCCTTACAAACACAAAGTGAACATTGGCATGATTGATCAGTCACGAGATGCTTCAGCTGTCAGCCTCTCAGAGTCCAAATCCAGCCAGGATTCTTGTAAGCATCTGAATTTCTTTCAAGTGAATAGCTTTGTAATCTACAAACGGGTCTTGAGGTTTTTTATTACTTTTTTGTTGTTGTTTTGTTTTGTTGTTACCAGTTTGTCTCCTCTTCTTAACAAGTTATTAGTGTACATGTTTTCACCTAATACTCGGGTGCTCCTGAGGGCACCTAATACTAGGGTGCTTCAAGACTATTTAATATGTAGCTTGTGACACTACCTTCTTTCTCCTAGCGGACTACAGTACCAGTGAGATGTTGGTGAACATGGGAAACCTCCCTCTGGATGAGTTCTATCCAGCTGTCTCTATGGTGGCACTGATGAGAATTTTCCGAGACCAATCCTTGTCCCAACACCACACTATGGTAGTTCAGGCCATCACCTTTATTTTCAAATCTCTTGGGCTGAAGTGTGTGCAGTTCCTGCCCCAGGTCATGCCAACGTTCCTTAATGTAATACGGGTTTGTGATGGTGCCATCCGAGAGGTAAGTGTACTAGGGACCACTCCTTCTTCCTTCCTGTTCCACTGCCCTAACATAAAAATCTATTTCTTAAAAGAGAATGCGACTGGCTTTGGGCATTGCTGTGCTATGTGTTGCTGCCAAGCATGCTGCAGAAGTGAGGTTCAGCTTTGCTTTTTCTCTCCTGTGAGCGTTTGGTAGAATATCCTGTGGAAACAATTTTTCTGCTTCTTATTGAAACAGCTGCTTCTGAGCATAATCCTTAGAAGGCCAATATTTGATTCTGTGTTTTTTATCAAGCTGGTTTTGTTCAGGAAAACAGCCTGTGCAGCTTCCAGAGCTTTCAGTGATCTCTGCGTTAATGTGCTGTTGCAAACAGTATTATTAAATAACAGAGGCAGATTCTTTAAATTTCTGATGCAACCATGTACTTTGGCTCATCTGTGAGAAGGAAAATTCAATTTGCTACAGTCTGCTAACATTCAGAGCAGTGTGGGTGGTGATTCCACAGCAGTGCTTTCTCTTCCTTCCCACTTAAGTTACAGTTTTAGAAGGAAATGAGAATTGCGTGAAGATAATAATGGGCTTAAGGTTCACTTAACCAGAGATGGCTGCTGTTTGCCAAGCCTTTTCCTCAGGCAGCTGAAAATAATCTCTGGGGTGGGAAGGGCAGTTTGTACTAGTTATTGGTACTGTGTTTTATAGGTGGGATGGGTGCTCCCTTAGCAGAATCCCAACCCTGCTATAGAACTGCTGTTTTCTCCCAGACTGAACTACTACTCAGATTGGAAGGAAAACATCTCACACGCCTGGGTTGGCTGAACTCTCCTAGACCTGACTGATCTAACTTGCTTGAAAGCTATGCAGTTGTGCACACTCTGTTTAAAAATTTTCAGGTAAAAGAAGATGGTGAAAGTGTACTGGGGAGAAGAGCTGAGGTGGGTATGCGTGACACTAAAGCCTAAAGGAGGCAGGTCCTTGTCCTATATGTAAGCATCCTCTCACTACAATAAAAAAAAGGCACAGTACAGGAGCTCAGGGTTCATTTTTGGTAAATGTAGGTGTACTGCTTTCACTGAAGTAGCTGATGTTATTGCTTACTTAGTTTTCACAAAAATCTGTTACCTCTTTTCCTGAGCTCCACTTTGTGTTTTGCCACTCTAGTCTTCAAATACTGCATGAAGAAACGAAATTTAATATATGATAACTTGTATTTTCCTGTTTTCCTAGAGGAAAAAAGACATACACATTTATTTTGTGGACAAAGTGATTTAACCCACATTATTTCATACCAATCTCAAAAGTAAATTCATTGTCATGAGTGAGTGTATAAGGTTGTATTGGGGCAAAAGGAATTGCAAAACTGCCCTAATATACCCAGACAAAATTGTCTCAGTCAAAATTCTTCTATGGTACCATCAACCGTCTCAACAAAATGTGATATTTCTGGCAAGGACCAAACTCTCTTCCCCAGTAACTTTTCACCAATATATCTTGGTGGGGATGGGAAAGAGGACAGAAAGAGTATCTTAAAATGTGTGCCAGTTTGGTTTACAGGCAGGGGGAAGAGATTAGGGGCTAAATTTTTGGAGGCATCCTTCAAAGCTAAATTACAAAGCTCTGTAGTTGAGGTGTGTGTCTTGCAAGTCTGTTCTGACACTTTATAAATTTGCTGACACATTATAAACCCCTATTTGTATGCTTGACTGTCTAAGGCTTTGAGCTCATAAAATTTTTGATGGAAGTTGAGGGGTGGGAATCAACAAAAAAAAACCCCAAAACTACTTCCCTCACTCCTCCCCCACCCCCCAAAAACCCAAACTACTGAGCTGAAGCTGCCAAGAATTTAGCCCCAGATTTTGAGCATATAGGAGCTATGCATGCTATTTGTTTGGTAAATGAGCTTGCAATTGGCCTGTGAAACGCCGTTTACCCAGCGTTGCTTTGACGTTTGAATAAGATACATTGATCACTACACATTTCTTCGTTCCAGTTCCTGTTCCAGCAGCTAGGGATGTTGGTGTCCTTTGTGAGAAGTCATATTCGGCCCTACATGGATGAAATCGTCACCCTGATGAGAGTGAGTACAATCTTTAAGCCAGCATTTTACTGTTGGAAAAGGTGGATAGTGTTTCTGTCATTATCAAATGTATCAATTACTTAATAAATTCGTATGAACTGCAGAATTCCAAACATTTGAAGTAATAATTATGTTTTGAAAGAATGTGTATTTGAAACAATAATATACATTATTACTAGTAACTGCAATAAGAGCAGCTCCTAGGTTCTGCTAGTGCCTGAGTTCTTCCAAGCACTTGGATTTTGTGCACTTACTACTTTCAGAAACAACAGTTTTAGCAAGAGGTGTTTGGAGTTCATAAATAGGTGGCATTTCACTTCATTTTCACTTACTGTTTGCAAACACTTAGAAGGATTAGGAAAAATCAGTTGCCTAGAGGTTGTTTTTAACAGCTATAAATATACTGAAGGCACAGAGTGTTTTAAAAACAGACCAAAACTGCCAATTTATATTAGTTTATAAGGGAAGTATAGTCCCTCCCTGCAATCTTGAATTTATCTAGAGACTGTCTCCTACAGTTTGCTTTTCTTGTAATTGGTACAGCTCAGTTGAACTGTTTAATTTTTTCCCTTTTCTTTTTTTTTTTTCTTCTGTAGGACTTCTGGGTCATGAACAACTCCATACAGAGCACAATTATCCTACTTATCGAGCAAATTGTGGTAGCTCTAGGAGGCGAATTCAAACTTTATCTGCCTCAGCTCATTCCTCATATGTTACGGGTCTTCATGCATGACAATAGTCAGAGTCGCATTGTCTCTGTCAAGGTGAGTGGGAAGCTGCAGCAGCAGGGTTGATTTGGGTATTGCTGATGCAGGTGCATGCCCAATGTGCCATGCTCCGGCAGGGCTTCTGCTGCTTGTGTGTTGCAAGCAAATGGGATAGGTGCAGTTCAGCAGTGGCTTGGTGTGAAATGATGCAGACTGCGCTTCTTTTTAAAGTGCAGGATTGAAGCAACTTTTCACTGGATACTGACTTATTTAAAATGCATCTCTTCCATGACTTTGAGTCACATTGGGTCATTTTTCCCTCCAGCTATTGAATGCGATCCAGCTCTTTGGAGCTAACTTGGATGACTACCTTCATTTGTTACTACCTCCCATTGTAAAGCTATTTGATGCCCCAGATGTCCCAGTGGTGGCTCGCAAGTAAGTGTTGGTGGCTTTGCAGTCTCTTTTTTTGCCCGCGATATCCAAGTTCTGCAATGGCTGCCCTAGCCACGTGTAGAATGAAATACCGCTTAGTTCCTTCCACGAGTTTTCTTTGTGTTAAATCATTACGGAGGGTTATTTTTGGTTTGATGTCACAGCACTGTTACTAGCTTTTCTTGGGTATAGACTATTACTTTCTGGTTCTCACCTGCCAGTATTTTAGTCACTGCAACTTGCAAGCTGACCTGCAAGTACTAGCTGCATTAACAGAGTTCTGGTGACATGTTTTTCCTATTACTGTTGATGCCTAGGAAGACTGAGCTTGAATCACTGTTGTATTTCTACATCTCGTTTCTCCTGTCTTATACCATGAGAGATAAGTCTTCCCTTCTTTCTGCTCTGACTTTAGAGCTGCTCTAGAAACAGTGGACCGCTTGACAGAGTCCCTGGATTTCACTGATTATGCTTCACGGATTATTCATCCCATTGTGCGAACACTAGATCAGAGCCCTGAGCTACGAACAACTGCAATGGACACCCTCTCCTCTCTGGTGTTCCAGCTGGGAAAGAAGGTAATATTCTTCTGAGGCGTGAAAGCTCATAGAAGGAGGGACTGTCCCAAAGATCAAGGCTTTAAAGTTGAGTATTTGTAATGCACTCATTCTGGCTTTTAAAAAAAACAGATTTTTCTTCTCTTAGTTTTCTGGAATCGGGAGTTACTGAAATCAAACTTTCAGAATTGGTTTCTTATAAGATCAATGAAACAAAAGTGGGATTTTACTGCTCTTGGTGAGACTGAGTAACTAGCTTTTGATGCATTCCCCGTACAGTACCAGATTTTTATCCCGATGGTGAACAAAGTTCTGGTGCGACACAAAATTAATCATCAACGCTATGATGTTCTTATCTGCAGAATTGTAAAGGTGAGTTGACAAGTATATAGTTGTTTGTGTAAGTGCACTTTGGGGATGTTTTCATGTTGAAACAGATGTAGCTGGAAACTTCACTTTGAGTTACTCATAAAATGAAGAATGGTTGTTGCTGTATTTGTGTGTTAAGTACAGCTTTTTAAAGAGACTTTTGAGATTGCATTGGGAAAAATTATTGTCAACTGGTATCAAGTATTTCCTATAGAAAAATCACTGCAAGTTGTAGCCAGTGTCATTACTTTTTTCTCAGTAGTTCTTAAATGTGGATTTACCCTATTTTTTTTTCCACAGTTTCAGGACTTAAGGAGACCTTGTTATCTCAGTATTTTCTATAGCACGTCCCACACTTCAAAAACTCAGTAACTGCTTTGCAATTTGAGTGTGGAACAAGCAGCACACTGCTGTTCTCAGCTTACTAG